CCAGAAAGTGACCTAAACCGTACCTGATGGTCTTATAACCAATACCATTTAGTTGGAAATGAAAAACTGGCCATAAAACATGCATCGCATAACCTTAGTAAAGTTGGGTTCATGTGGTGACCCTTGGTGACCTTTGGTGACCTGACCTGTGACCTGACCTGGTATGACCAGTGACCTCTAATAGCAACATATGTACTAGACAACTGACGCCTTATCGCTGATTTTCGACAAAATGCGTTTTTCTCGGTGTTATAGCGCTTTCCCTAGAAGCCCCGTGAACGGTGAAACATTTTATCTTTGACCTGACCTGTGACGTCATCGGTGACCCCGAGGTCAATGAAATTTGGTTTCCTTCGACAAATGTGACAGGGCTATCGAACGCCGTTTGAATTTCCGGATCCGTCCAGTAGTTTCGGAGATACGAGGGGGGGGGGGGCAAAACAATGCCCCCCCCCCTCCCCCACCGCGCGGAAGGTGGCTGGTAGGCCCACCGCCTGCCGGGTTAAATCACCGGCCATACTGTGGATTCTTCATCTTCCGTAGCAATCAAGAGTCAGTTAACCCGCGCCCCACTGGGGTCTGCGTATAACACGCCCTACTGGGGGAGGGGCTATTCATAGCCCCCCCCCCCTCCTAACTCCGAAACTACTGGGCCGATCGTCAAAATTCAAACGGCGTCTGATATCCCCGGAAAAACTGTCGAGCGAAACCTAATTTCATTGACCTCGAGGTCACCGATGACGTCACAGGTCAGGTCAAAGTAAAAATTATTAGCATTTTGGCTTCTTCACGTTTTGGGCTCTGGCCGCCGTCTTACAAGTCAGATCAGGCTCATTTTTGGTTCACACACTCGTGAACAGATGCTCTAGATACTCTGAGGGTACCAAACTTGTACTTTGATTTTCAGGTCAAGGTCAGGTCATCACAGGTCACGAAAATATTATATCATCCGTCGGTCACGTGACACATGTTTTATGGTCCATTTAGGCCAAACATTTCGAATTTGATGTCGTCTGTGTCATTCGAGGTCATTTTGAGTCAAATTTAGCTTAGGTCAGGTCACTTTCAGGGAAAAAAGGTCAAATTTTGAAGCTAAAATTTTTCAACAAAAAAGGTGTCTATTGGATGCAGTTTGAGCTCAGAAACACGATGATGCTATTTATATTGGCGTACGATGTCAAATTCGTGCTGAAAATTGATTTGAAAAATTAATAATTGTTAATTTTTTGCAATAATGCGTATAACTTGGCCATTTTTGAAGATATTTAGCTAAAACTTGCTAGAGTTAGTTATAATAATGCTTTCTATCACATATATTCCGTTTTTTTCGAAAAGTCAAAATTTTTTTGAAAAAATTTAAAAATATAAATTTTCAATTTAATTATATAAAATTCTCGAAATTTTCAAAATTTCGAAAATCCGAGATAGCAGTTTGATAGCGCAGTTTATTCTGAGTCCTCTCATGCAAAGAAATTGGATCTAGCTTGAAAAGTGAGCTCTTGGGAGCGATTGCCGTGGTTCAATGTTTTGCGTCGAAATCGGCCGAACATGACGTCACTCTGACGTCATTTACGGCCGACCTATGGTGGGTACGAAGTTCAAATTTTGACACAAGGTGTCAAATTGATGCAGCCGAAGGTACTGAAAGTTTGGCGTCGATACGTCAAGCGGTTTGGAAGTTATTGCAGAAAAACGGGAGGGGGGCTATAAATAGCCCCCCCAGTGGGGTGCGGGTTAATACCCGGGCAGGTGAATTTGTTAGATGCGGTAGGATTGAATGTCCATATCATGTTGTTTCTTCAATCGCAGTTCAGGACGAATGGGCGGGGGCGCTGTTGGTGAGGATAAAACATCTTCTTGGGCTTTTTTGCGGCGATTCTGCTTGAGACCATCTCGCAACTTCTTCAAAAGTGTGCAGTAGGTAGTGCTTGTTTATCATTATCCGACCATCATCAAGACAGTCGTTAACCCGGCCGGGCCCGGGGGTAATCCCAAACACCGCAGCCCGGGGGGGGGGCGTTTTTCGCCCCCCCCCCTGTCTAACTCCGTAAATAAGGGAGCTGCGGAAACAAAAGCGATACCAAACGAAAGGTCCTTACGAGACGATTCTAGTGCGCCTAAAAATTTTGATCTCAGGTCAATTTTCAAGGTCAGAGGTCAAGGTCAAAGGCCAAAACCGGCACATGTGTAGTGATTTCAAAGTAAGCCTTCTAGAGGACGGTAGGCTGCATCAAACCGGCAAAATTGGGTGTCAAACGAAAGAAGAGAATCTGAGGATTCTGAAAATGTGCTGTAAATCAAAGGTCAAGGTCAAGGTCACGCTCAAAATTGACCTCAAACTTGGCACTTTTTCGCACATCTTGCGTGCTAACTTCCAAGATGTTTTGAAATGTTTTGAGGCTTATCAGTTCCCTATTTGTGGTTCATCTTACGATACAAGGCTGCTCAAAGGTCAAGGTCACAGAAGAGTATCCCTGCTAGATGCTATTTCACTGATTCAAGTTAGTAATAATAAATAAGACAATTTTGCCATCCGGAAGCTCTAAATGAAGGCTTAGAGGAAAATAGATGCCAGATTCGTGATCAGCGGGTACAAATCCATCATAAACGACCTTTCATGTGTCAAGGTCAACCAGAGGTCATTCGAGGTCACATGAGGTCAACATGAAACTTGACCTTTTCCGAACAAAATATATATCATTCGACGCGGCTTGACAAGGCGAATGCGATGGTATCACTCCGTAGCTCTAGGACCATTTTTATCGAAGTTATTTGCGAAAAACTAAAACCACATTTCGGGGTCGTTGACCTGACCTCTGACCTCAGGTCACCAAAACTATTTTTCTATTTTTTCTAGGTCAAACGCTACACAGCCGTGCTCGTAATTTGTCTTTATCTCCAAAACTCTATTTTTAGCAGCTATTTGAAGTTTGCGTCTGTGACGCCGAAGTTTGCCGTGCAGGGGTCTAGAAAAATGTACCTTGTGACGTCATCAAGGGGGCTAGGTCCAAATTTTTTACTTCAGAAGATGTCAAATTGATGGGAGAAAAGGTACTGAAAGTTTCGCCTTCCTATCCCTAAGCGTTCGGGAGTTATCGCAAATATTCGCCAGGGGGGGGGGCGAAAAACGCCCCCCGGGCCCGCGAGGGTTAATGACTATCCTACGCCAGGTCCAGAACACTGATAGCTCATTGACCTTCCATATCGGCTTCTGCATCTTCGCCTTTTAAGAAGGACAGATGTGCCGTGCTTAAACTTCTTGATCGTCTTTTTGTCTCTGGATCATACACATAGACCCAGCATCCGTCACAAGTCATCAGATGATCGAAGAGATGTCTTCAATTTCCTAAAAAAGGCCTAGTTTTCGTTTCGAAAGGCTAAGACGCATTTTTCTCTTGAACAAAGTAGACGCACGAACTTCTAAGCGGGCTGACTCCTTTATCGTCTGTAGTTCTTCGCTGATAATATTTTCAGGCCTTGCCAGCATTGGGACCTTTCTGTTGCACAATCATCTGAATGGTCACACGACGATCTGTAAGGATGAGGTCCTCCACTTCCTTCACAGTCATCACCTTGTCAGTCACTGGTAGTCACTCACTTCTTGACTACCCTGCAAAGGCCATGCAACCAAGTTAAAAATTATTTCTTCATTTTCGGTAAGAGCATGAGATGGGCTTTCCTCGCCATAAATTAACCCGCGCGGGGCTGGGGGGGTAAATTTTACCCCCCTCGCGAATTTTTGCGATATCTCAAAAACGGCGGCGCGCAGCGCCGCCAAACTTTCAGTACCTTTTCTTACATCAATTTGACACGTTCCCTGAAAATTTGAGCGAAATCCGTCGGAAAATTTTTGAGAAATTGACGTTTTAGTGACGTCATGTTCGCCATTTTCGCCTCAAAAACGGCAAACGTTCAAACGCCGCTAACATCTTCATTTTTAAAGAAATCAAAACGTAACAAAAAAGGTTATACGTAATTTTACTTTGTCTATCAAATGGCTATCTCGGTTTTTTGAAAATTTTGGATTTTGGCCTACATTTTTTCAAAAAATTGACTTTTTTGGGAAAATCATTATAAAATCCAAAATTTTGAGTCTATCGAAAAAACCGGAATATGTCAGAGAAGTGGTCTATGTGCACCTACATACCAAATTTTAGAAGAATCGGTTCAAAAATGTGGGAGTTATTCAAAATTTTATGACGTCACGACACACAAAATTTTTGAAAAATGACTTTTTTGGAAGTTTTAGACCTCGTACGGAAACAAAAATAGCACCATATTCGATTCGCCGTGAAAAACTGCATCAGATAGACACCTTTTTAGGCCTAAACAACCAACTTCAAAATTTGACCTCAGTTGACCTGACCTTGACCTGACCTCGACCTGAAATTCATCCAGAGGTGGTCCATATCACTTATTGAGTGTGCCTATTGAATTCTATGAGTAAAATTACCCATAAAACATGTGTCGCACATGCCCTTTTCTATATGTTGTTTTTTGGTGACCTGACCTGACCTGACCTGACCTTGACCTTGACCTGTGAATGATATTGTATGCAACGAATATTGTCTTGGTAGCCTAAGAACACGTTTTGGGCGATCAGTCTCAGTCCATGACTCCATTCTTCGGCAACTACGGTGCAAGGCCGATACTGTAGAAACTTGCAATTTGTACCCTTTGTTTAGTTGTTTATCGGTTCGAAGTGAAAGAGCTTATGAATATCAACGCGATTTATTTTAGACAGGTGCGAATGGGCCGAGAGAGAGATCGAAACGTAAACAAGTATGGCGAGCGCCAGCCCACGTCCCGTGCGCCAGTCACGCCGCTTGGCGCGCACGGTCAGCTGGCGCCGGCAGGGGCGCTCACAGGCACCTGGCACCGTGGGGTCGCAGAGGCGGTCCAAGTAGGGGGCCTCGGGGGGCCTATATACAAACACAACATCTCCCCCTCGAGACAACAGTCGTGAAGCCGCCAAAAACACAACACTGCACGACGTTGTCTCACTCCTCATACGAGGTCGCACCCCAACGAACGAACAGACGATCGGGGCTGGCACACACGACTGCTGCGACCCATGGCGGCGGGCGCTTGTTCCGGCGTCCGCAGCGGGCGCGCCCGTTGTCACCCGAGAGGTCACCGGTAGGCGGCGCTCCGGTGTCGGGTGGCGGCCACGGATCACAGCCAGCGGCGTCTCCGGCCATCCCCTGAACCGGGCCCACGAGCGGCGCCAGACCCGCGTCATCCTCAGCACAGTCGGTCTGTCCCATGTCCGCCTGCGGCGGCGACACGGCGTCACTGACGACCTCTTCTCTGTCCCTGCTTTGCGTCGGCGGGCTTCCCACCAGCGGCGGCGAGGCTCCGTAGGCGTCATCAGTCTCACCGGGTACGGTGGGCTGTGTCACGGAACAGTCGGTTTGGCCCGTGTCCGTCGGCGGCGGTGACACGGCGGGGCCGGCAGCTGCACCTGGGCCCGTGCTCAGCGTTTGTAGGCCTCCCGCCGACGGCGGCGAGGCCCCGTGGGTGTCGGCTGGCCCGCTAGACTGCCCTGCGGTGGACTCAATCTGGCCGGTGTCCGCCGGCGGCGACGACACGGCGGGGCCGGCCGCTGCACCTTGGCCCGTGCTCGGCGTTGGGATGCCCCCCACCGGCGGCGGCGAGGCTCCGTAGGCTTCAGCGGGACCGGCCGGGCCTGCGGGCTGCACCGCAGTGGCCCCGGGCTGGCCCGTGTCCGCCGGCGGCGGCAACACGGCGTCACCAGCGGTTTTGTTTCCGTCGCCGGTCCGCGTTTGTAGACCTCCCGCCGGCGTCGGCGAGGCTCTGTACGCTCTAGTAGCTCCGTCCGGCTCCGTAGACAGCGCCGCGGTACGCCCGACTCGGCCCGTGTCCGCCGGCGGCTGTGACACGGCGTTGTCGGCGGTTCCGTGTCCGTAGCTGGTCCGCGTTGGAAGGCTTCCCGTCGGCGACGGCGAAGCTCCGTGGGCGCCAGCCGGCTCTGTAGACTGCGCCGCGGTACACCCAGCTCGGTCCGTGTCCGCCTGCGGCGGTGACACGGCGTTATCAGGGGCTGCCTCTCGGTCCGTGGTCTGCGCCGGCCAGCCTCCCGCCGGCGGCGGGCAGGCTCCGCGCGCGCCAGCCGGCTCGGTGGGCTGCGCCGCGGTACGGCCGGCTCCTCGGCCCGTGTCTGCCGGCGGCAACGACACGGCGGCGCCGGTGGCTACCGATGGGCCTCCCGCCGGCGGCGGCGAGGCTCGGTACACTCGGTCCGTGCTCCAAGTTGGGATGCCTCCGGCCGGCGGCGGTGAGGCTCCGTAGGATGCGGTAGCTCCGACCGGCTCAGTCGGCTGCGCTGCAGTACTGCCGGTGCGGCCCGTGTCCGCCTGCGGCGATGACACGGCGTTGTCAGGGGCTGCCTCGCCGTCCATGGTCTGCGCTGGCCAGCCTCCCGCCGGCGGCGGGCAGGCTCCGCGCGCGCCAGCCGGCTCGGTGGGCTGCGCCGCGGTACGGCCGGCTCCTCGGCCCGTGTCTGCCGGCGGCAACGACACGGCGGCGCCGGTGGCTGCTGATGGGCCTCCCGCCGGCGGCGGCGAGGCTCCGTGGACGTCAGCAGCGTCACTCAGCTCGGCGGGCTGAAGCGCAGTGTGCCCGGCTTGGCCCGTGTCCGCCGGCGGCGGCAACACGGCGGTGCCGGCGGCTACCGTTACTGGCGCCACCACCGGTGAGTCGCGTACTCTCGTCACTGCAGATGTCGCCACTGGACGATCGGCCGTGGTGCTGGCCCTCTGGTGGCACACCACCTCAAAATGTCCTGGTTCGCCACACGCACGACAGATGGCGCCAGCGGCGCGACACGTGTCTCCGCCGGCGTGCTGGCGACGGCCACAGGTAGGGCAACGCTCAAGAAACTGATGATCTGTAGCGGTGGCGGAATGGGCGACACTCGGCCGCCTGCGCCTCTTGTAGGCCGGCAGGCGCGCCGCGGAATGTCCCTCGTTGCCGCGGAGGTCTGGGCACGTGACATGGGCACCATCGCTCGCCCGACGAACGGTCACGGCGTATTTGAGCGTCAGCTCAAAGTCCTCTTGCCTGCAGCTCACCGCTCCTAAATCACTGTCGGGAACACTGCACTCGGCACGGTCGTTGCACGTCGATGCCGACTTCGGTCGCGCGGTCGGGGTTGCCGACACCGGCAGGCAGACAGTCCGGCGGGCGGCGGCAGCTGGTCCAACGGATCCATCAGCGCCTCGCTCAGCCCCCGACTCTGACACTCCGGTCGTCGCGTCCGTTCCCGCGGAGGGCTCCCTGGTTAGCAGCCTCTCCAAGCGCTCCAGGCGCTTGTCGGCGTCGGCGGCTCTCTTCACTTGCCTCTCCAGCAGTGCCGTCAGTTCTTGAATGATAGTCATCGCGGTATGCTTAATCACGTAGTAATTTGGGCCTGTTCCAGCGCCTCCAGTAGAAATTCTTGACTGGAGGCTCTACCAGAGGTTTCACTGGAGGCGCTGGAACGCAATCTGGAGGTTTCTGGAGATTGGCATCACATATACCAAAAGAATGACGATTGATCTCTCTTGAAATGCAAAATTTATTTTCAATTTTATTAAGAAAGATTAGCAAAATTATAGCAATGTAATTTTCTTTACATTCAAGTTGTAAAATAATCAGTCAAAAGTCCTTTGTTTACATTCGTGATTGTCACATGTGCGCCATAATTGTAGACCAGAGCCTCCAGAGAAATTTGGACCTCCCAACTCTCTGGAGGCTACTGGAGGTTTCTGGAGCTTTGGCGAGAGCTTTCTGGAGCTTTCTGGAGGCGCTGGAACGCTCTCTGGAGGATTCTAGAGCTTTCTGGAGCTTTCTGGAGGTTTCTGGAGGCGCTGGAACAGGCCCTTACAAAACCGACCGCGCCATGTTTAGTTGTTTATCGGTTCGAAGTGAAAGAGCTTATGAATATCAACGCGATTTATTTTAGACAGGTGCGAATGGGCCGAGAGAGAGATCGAAACGTAAACAAGTATGGCGAGCGCCAGCCCACGTCCCGTGCGCCAGTCACGCCGCTTGGCGCGCACGGTCAGCTGGCGCCGGCAGGGGCGCTCACAGGCACCTGGCACCGTGGGGTCGCAGAGGCGGTCCAAGTAGGGGGCCTCGGGGGGCCTATATACAAACACAACACCCTTGACCTGACCTTGACCTTAACCTCAAACTTTAAATTAAGTACATGTTTTTAGTAGTTCGTGATGAGAGCTTTCGATTGGCGTTTGAATTTTCCAAATCGGACCATTAGTTCGGGAGATAACAGGGGGGGGGGGGGGGTAAAATTTACCCCCCCCCCCAGCCCCGCGCGTTCGGCTGGAGACCCCAGCCCCGCGCGGGTTAATTTCACGTTCTTGATGTATTTTATCAGTGTGATACCGTTTCAAATGCATTAGTTGGATGACGGTTCGGTCCGCAATGGGCCCAATATGCATCTTTTTTACTTCTAAGTCTCTCCTACATAAGATAAAACCACTTCTCAGGATTTTCTTTGCGGGAACATTGTTCTTGAGAACCAAATATACTACCAGCCTAAAATCATCAAAATCGGTCTATATCTTCTATGTGATGATCAGAACTTTTCGATAGGTACCCCCTCGTATACTCATATACTCATACCTTTTTATACAAACCACTAACCAGCAATATGCAACACTGAACACACCCGTGCCAACCGGAAAATATGAGTACATTATTTTACATCTATATAGGTACGTACATACATGCCGAGAGCTATTGAAACAGCAATAGGTAGGTACACTTATAAACCTTCCAGGCGGTGGGGTGGGCATTTTTTCCCCCTCCCTCCTTTTAGCTTTTTCGATATATCTCTAGAACCGCTGCGCCAATCGTCACCAAACTTTCATTACCCTCCCGTGAATAACTATTGCACATTGTGACCAAAAATTTGTCCAAAGGCTATGATAGGTTGGACGCTAATGACGTCAGAGTGACGTCATTTCTGCCATTTTCGACCCAAAAAAAGGTTTTTGGGTCACTTGACTTGTAAATAACTTGTAAATGTTTAAAAAATCGCCAAAAATCAAGGTTTAAAGCAAATGGCGAATTAAGAACATAAATAGACGCAGCTTAACGAGTTATTTAACCTTCGCCCCAGGGGGGGGGGGGCGGCATATGTTACCACTCTGTGGCGTTTTTTGCGTGTGAATAAAAAACCGCGCCGCTTGAGGTAGCTTTTTGTACATCAATTTTGAGCAATGTGTGAAATTTTTGACCCCAGGTCATGTCAGGTCAGGTCACCAGGTCAAGTTAACCCGCGCCCTGCTGGAGGGAGGGGGGTGTTTGAACACCCCCCTTGTGGTTTTTCGCGAATATCTCAAAAACGGCGGCGCTCCGCGCCGCCGTTTTTGGTGCACCTTATCATACATCAATTCTATACATGTTGGGAAAATTTCAGACCAAGGTCATTCAAGGTCAGGTCACCAGGTCACTTGAAGTGACCTCACCCCATAAAAAGTTTCAATGTCTGTCATAGCTACACCGAGTGACCGATCGCTTTGAAACTGTCAGCCATTGCTAAGAGCAATAGCATATACAAAATGTATATCTCAGAATTTTGATATCGATGACCTAAGGTCAGGTCAATTTTGCGACCTCCCCATTATAAGTCAATGGGAGAAAATTGAAATGCGCCTCTTCTGGACGAAACACATTATAAACACTCCCAAACACCTAATTACAAGTGGTTTAGACACACTGAACATGAAAATGGTGTCCGTGACCCCTGTTTATGCCTTGAGGTCATCTTAGGTCACGAATAGTATCTAACAGTTTTTCGCAAATAACTTTTGATAGAGGCATGCTAGAGCGATGAAAACGCCTTAGATGTGTTCAGCTCGACGATGCGGATCGACTGATATGCAACATGACCCTTTCCGGTCAGGTCATGACCTTGACTTGAGGTCAAATTTTCAAGTTGACCTTTCAAGGTCAAGTTGTAGTTCATTCGATGCGTCTTGACGAGAGGAACACGATGCCGGTAAAATTAAGCTCGTACAAGACTTGGGTCAAAAGTTATTGCAGAAAAACTGTTTCCGTAAAAATCGGCTATTTTTTGCAGTTTTTGCCCCCTGCAGGCAAAACCGTTGACGTTAGGTCAAATCTGAGAAAATTACTCAGAAGGGGCGTTAATAGGGCTATCGAATGCGCTTTTCCGCGGCGCTGTAGCTCTATTGGTTCCCGAGTTATGCGTTGGCTTCTTGGAAATTGTCGACATTCGACCTGGAAATCGGCGAAATTTTGCCTTCAATGACCTCTGGTGACCTGACCTTTGACCTGACCAAAACATTGACCTAAGTGATTTCCTCATTATTTTTGACGCTCTTTCGAACGCCGCCTTCTGCGTATCGCTACGTGGCCCAGGAGCCGAGTTAGAAGGAGGGATGTTCAAACACCCCCCCCCCCCAGCAGGGCGTGGAAATCCAGGACCCCCAGCCGGGCGCGGGTTAACTGACCAAGCCTAAAAAATTGCAATCATGTCCAGCCTGCAATGTTTGTCAGAAAGGTTTTAAACTTGGTGTATTGCATGATGTTATGGGCGCCTACACTTTGTATATCTCGGATTTTTTATATCCGTGACCTAAGGTCAGGTCAGTGGCGTGACCTTACCATTAGGTATAAGTCAATGGAGAAAAATGAAAATGCCTCTAAATCCGTGTGTACGCATAGGAACAGCCCAAATATTTCAGAATCACAATGATTTTTGGACCATCCGTGACGACCAAGGTGTCTTTTTTGCTGATAGCCTCTAGAAAGGTCATCCGAGGTCATTTGAGGCTACAAACATATTTTTGCCAATAACTCTCGATTGGAAAGAGATAGGACGCTGGGGATGGTCTCATTGTGTTTGTCTTGTTGAGACGCATCGAAAGATATGCAACATGACCTTTTCCGGTTAGGTCATGACCTTAACCTTAGGTTAAATTTTCAAGTTGACCTTTCAAGGTCAAATTATAGTTCACTCGACGCTTCTCGGTGAGAGGAACACGATTCTGGCAATATAAATGTTGTGTTTTTTTTTAGTCAAAAGTTATTGTCGAAAAACACATTTCGTAAATACAGTTATTTTTGGAGTTTTTTGCCCTCTGGATGTTAAACCGTTGATCTAAGGTCAATTTTGATAATGACCTTATCAAATGAAGAGTTCAAAAGCTATCGATTGCTTTTCCATGCGTTTTTCTAGCTATCACAGTTCCTGAGATAAATGCATGTTTTCTGAGAAATATAATGATATTTGACAAATTTTGACCTTTGATGACCTCCAGTGACCCCAATATTACCTACTCTGAGATGAAAAATGACCGAAATACTTTCCAGCGTACGCCGAGAGCTATCGACTGCTTTTCACCCCGTCTTTCTAGCCCTCTTAGTTTCTGAGTTAGAGGTGGGTGGTAACCTATGCCCCCCCCCCCCCCCACTACACTATGGTTGGAAACGGCCTCACGGATGGCCGTGGGCAATTTCGGAATATATGTATATTTGGGGTGTCATTCTGTTGGAAATTGATGAAATGTTTTGAATTGGGCAGAAAAAAATTATTTAGTTGCGCATTTAGTCTCCATTATTGTACGTGGAATCGGGAGTTTCTGGTAGTGGCTTTTTTAGTGCGCCGTCAAAGGTTTTAACAACCGCGCTGGTGATAGCATGTGGAGTACCTCCATGACGTTGTAAAACTGGATTATTATATATCAAAATAATCCTTGTTATGTTGGCTATCGAGTGGAGTGACTCTTTTTCCCATGCGTGTTCAAAATCAGGAACGGCATTGCATTCTGTTTGCAGTGTCACCACAGCAATATTTGCAAAATTACGTTTATGTTTCATTGGACATACAAAAAGTTCTCCATCGACCTCCATTGAGCTTTTTGGCAGAATAAATCTCTGTTCAATTCTGCGTAAGGGGAACGTAAAAGCAGACTGCGCACTTGTGCGCAAAATCGTCCGTGAAGCTTCATCTCCCGAGGCGTACCTACCCGTCGCTTCGTTAGCACCAGGTAGGCTCGTCAGTCTTGCAATCGCTTATCCTTATAAATGATGGTAAGAAGCAGGGTTGCGGAGTCGTGGTGGCGCCAAATCCGACTACGACTACGACTCCGACTCCTGACTCGTTGCCATGACTCCGGCCGACTCTGTCTCCGACCCCGGACCCCTGCCAGTCTTTTGGAGTCGTGATGGAGCTGTTCCGATTCGGACCGACTCCGACTTCCACTGCGGGCTCCTGACCGACCCCGACTCCGACTCCGACTCCTGGCTCGTTGCCACGACTCTGGGCGACTCTGACTGCGACTCCGACTCTGACTCCGACTCTGACTTCGACTCCGCACCCCTCGTAAGAAGTAACTGCTCGCCCCTG